TCTATTGCAGGGGCCCCAGGGCAGTACTCTGTCCAAGGCCGCAGCTCTTTCGCCAACACTACGACAACGACAGCGACTACGACAGCGAAGAAGAGCCAGGCCGTCATCTTCTCCCCGGATACCGTTCATCTTGGTTGGCAACGTTCAGTTCAGTGAATTGGCTGCTGTGCTGACTTCACATTCGCCTAGTCGCCTAACTGAAGTGAGAGACAGACTGAACCTAGATGAGTTGCGCCAGCTTGGTACCTCATGTGAAGATGAAGAAGCGGATGCCCGATCTCGAGCATAGGCGGCAGCTTCCGGAACACGGCCTGAGATGCACTGAACATTTAAAACCGGGATTGGGCCCCAACCACACTTCACTGCCGAAAGAAAAAATGAACGCATCACCTGCTAAAGCTTCAAGGCGCTCTGCTTCCGGGCCCGGAAGCGATCCTGGCAGTGTTTCACCACCGCTGCGCTGGGGTTGTGGAAGCCATAATGCCCGTCGCGCCGCGGAACTCAGCATTTCAGTAAATGCACACATGACTCCGCAAGCCAACTTCAACGACAACAGGTCCTTCTGCTGCCAAGAGTCAGTTTATACAATATTGGTAAAATTCCGTGGCTGCGCTGGAGTCAACGCGGTCCATGTTGGCCATCGTCTGCAGGCAGAGAGAAGACAACTGAAGACCCAAGCCAAGAACTACTTTACAATCTGTTCTGAGGCACCTCCCATGCGGATCTGTCCACGCGCATGTCCACGAGCAGCTGGTGGACGCTGGGATTGTTGTTCCGCAGGTGTCGCTTGGCCTTTGCCCAAGCCAACAAGCAATTCTAGAATGAGGCAAAGCAGAACAACGATGCAGCGCTTGCAATCCCACCCACCTGCCTCATAGAGAGACGGCACTTCCCAGCCACTCCAGTCGTCACGACTCCAGTCCGCCGTAGTGCCCTGGCCCGTCTCATTGTCATCCTCATCGTCATCGACAGCGACAATGACAGGCTCGTCCGCGGCCGCGGGTGCGGGCGCGGCCTCCAACTCAGATGGCAGCACCTGAACCGCCGCCTCCGCCACAGCCGCACGACAACGACCACCAAGGGAGATCGAGAAGAGGCGATCCTGTGCCATGCCTTAGCATTTTGAGGTTGTTTGGAACTTGCAACTTGCAACTGCTGCGGGGTGAATGTCTCGACATGTGAAGCGTCAAGCCCAGGGACCGAGGATCTTGTCGACGCTGCTTTTCAACTGCAGCCTCCGCCCAGTGGAGATGTGGCTGAGGTCGACCGGCGCCGGGTGGGTCTGCAAGCCCCAATGCGATGGAAGCCACACTTCTGTATTGAAGAGCGACCCGACAACGATCGCCGCGGTGACGGATCGGTGGCGTCCTGCGGAGCCTCATGATCAAGGTGAAATAGTCTGAATGAGAACGCAAATGCAAGGCAAAACAACACTCAAGCCCTCAAGCTAGAGTCTAGAGCAGCCAAGGTGCAGATGATCTGGAGGCAGTGTTTCCCACCAGCACCATGGCAAAGCAGTCCCAGGACGAAGGCCACCACTGCGACAAGAGCCTCCTGCCCCTCAAACAGGAGCTGCTCGAGGAAGTCCCAGTTCCGCCATGGATCGTCGGACCCAGCACCACCTCAGACAAAAGCAAAAAGAACAAAGACAGCCACCCAACCAAAGCCGCCCCGCTTGGGGGCCTCCGGAAGGGAGGGCGCAAAGCAGTCCAAGGCACGTCTCCCCCGCGAGGATGGACTGCGGGACCTCCGCCTCTCCCCAGAACCATCCTCCGCCTGCCCCGGGTCATCTCGCCACTTCTGACGTATGTCGTACTGCGTCTGGAAGTGGTTCGGGTACCGGTTCTTCAGCAGGCCCGGGAAGAGCTTGTGGCCCACCACCTGCCTGGAATCTGAATCATACCAGGCACTGGCACCCCAGGCCACCACCACCCCGTCGAGATTGGGCAGAGCCATGATCGACGACAGCGACAGCGACACGACAGGGTTTAGGGCGTTTATACAGTAGTAGTAGTAGTAGTAGTAGTAGTAGTAGTAGTAGTAGTAGTAGTGGTAGTGGTAGTGGTGATGTCTGCATGCAGGATCCATAGGGTTTAGGGTTCAGCAGGGCTTAGGTTTAGGTTTCAGGGTTTAGGCGAAGGGCTTGTGAATTCCTCGGAGGTTTAAGAGAGCTTAAGGCCTAAGGCTGGGCTAAGGATGCTTAAGATGCTTAAGACTTAAGGCTTACTGGCCTTATTACAGCTGAAGCTGAAAGTCTGTAAAATGAATTCCTCGGAGGTTTAAGAGCTTAAGGCCTAAGGCTGGCCTTAAGGCTTAATGGCTTAATTACAGCTGAAGCTGAAACTCTGTAAAAGGCTTAGCCGTGTTTTTCGCTTGGGTTCGTCTCGTGGTCTCGAATGTGGCATGTGACATACATGTGAGTCTACCTTTTTGGGCAGTGTATTTGCTGACCAGGCATGTTGGTGGTTATGTTCATGGGATGGCCACTGAAAGCTGCGGTGACTCACCCAAACTGGCTCATGCTCATGCTTCAAGCAGCAATCACCACAACTCAGCAATCAATGGAGCAACTCGGAGCAACGGCAAGCGAAAAAGGCACCTTGAAGGCATCCACGGCGACAGCGATGATCGGATCCCGGCGGCTCGACCTTTTGTTGCATTGCAAGGAATTTCCGCTAGCAAGCACAAGCACTAAGCACAAACTCGACCGCACTCGCAGTCGCACTCATCCAGGTTCACGACGTGTACTGGATGGATAGTGAGAATGATCCTTCCACCTTCCACAGACTCAGCCACAGAAGCCACTGCTGTATTCCTCTAAGCGAATAGATTCTGAGCCCGCTGCAACCACGCATCAGTGTGTATGATGAAGCGACATCGACCTAACTCGTGGTTTGGGTCTTGGTTTTCAGGTTTCGACTCGCACACTCGCACAATCGCAGGCACGGCTTCAGGTTCCAATGGTTTTCAGGTTTAGGGTTTAGGGGTCTTCAGGTTTAGGGTTTTTACCCTTCACACTATTGCGACCGAAGATCTCCTGACTTCCCTAGCACCCAAACCCTGCTTAACACTCTTGCGAGCGAACTAAACATAACTAAACGTCTACAA